ACCAGTGGAGAGCCTTCGTATGACGCAGCAAAATCAGCGAAGCTGGTCTCAGTTTCGGACTTGGGTTACATCCGCTCACCGGCCGGCGGCGACGGCGACGACGGAGTATTCCAAACTTTTGACGAGTTTCACTTGCACGGCAAATAAATATTGAAGAAACAAATCAATATTTAGATATACAAGCAAAAAAAATTATTCAGAATTTCTTGTAAGTCAAGGAGAAGGCTAGAAGCCTTTCATTGAAATCATAACGAATATTCAATAACCTACTATATATAAGAAATCAACCTGATTTTAATGTGTTTTTATAAAAGAAAACCATGATTTTAATTAAATATTTAAGCCAAGTCAAGTTCAAAAAATATTCAATTAATTTAACAAGAAAATAAATGTTAATTTAAGCATTTACAAATGTAAAACCATGTTGGTATCTTGTTGCTGTTTATTGTCTGACAAATAAGGTCAGACTGACCCTCATTTCGTTTAAAATATTCTGTTTTTTCGGTGCATAACAATAAATACACAAAAATCAAGCTGAAATTAACGGCTTTGGATCGCAGTTGCAGTCTCAGCACTTTTTCAGCTGAGACTGCACATACTCGTGTGTTAGCTGGGAAATAAGGTCAGTTGGGTAATGGCAATACCTTAAACGTGGCGAGCGGCTAACTGAAAAGTGCCACTGCAGTTGCATTTGCCGGTTGCAGTTGCGAAAACTGCATTTCAAACGGGAGAGAAGAGCACTCGGTGCGGGCTTTCTTTTCATCGTCCCAATGCCGGGCATTGGTCAGCGCATCATCTCTCCCTGGGCTTCTGTCAGATGACTTTCTACTCCGAATAAACATAAATTTCACATTAGGCACAGAGAGACAGACAGGCAGGCAGACACCTCACCTCAGGTGAGTACGAGTAACCGTGTCTGCAGCGGCTTTTGGCTTTGAAAGAAAAGGGGATCCCTCACCTCATCCGAATTGGCCACGCACTTGCAATTAATTTTCACATTTTCAGCTTTTCTTCAGCTTTTCCCCTATCAGCTTGACGCCGCTAATTATGGCTAAGCGAGGAAAAGCTTTCATTGTTACGCTTGGCGATCAGGGAAGTCCATCTATACACATAAGACTAAGACTGCTCTTGTAACTAGCTTGTTATGGTTTGTTTTTAGCCAACAAAGTGGAACCTAAAACATGTTGAAGACGAGGGGCTAAACACTGAACAAAATTGTAATTTTCTCAAGAAAATCCTAATGAAATTTTATAGAGAATATAAATTAAGACTTCATTATAATTATTAAATTTGATATTAAAGATAAGCTAGATTAGTTGTTGGGCATTACTTTGATTTTATAGTTTCTGACTTTAAATTAAATATAAATTCCAAGTTTTTTCGCTCTCTGTAATAAACAACACCTTGTTGGTTGCTAAATTTTAGCCAGCACCATGAAAACTGGTTCCTACATTTCAGAATTATGCGGAAATGGCTTTAAAAGTGGCCCCGGTTCCATGTTTTTGTATTTCGGAATTTTTTCTCGCCTTTTTCACCTTTGCCCATTTTTTTTTTTCTGGGTCCCCTATCCCCCGTTTTATAAGCATTTTTCTCCTTTTGGTTCCACGATCGCTTCTGCATACATTTTGACGATTTCTTTTTTGTCCAGTAGAATTACCGGCAACGTTTTTTTGCGGTCAGTTATTCACTGTATTGACAGGCCTTTACAGCTGCTATCCATCTTGGGAAGACGTCTCTGTTTTCGGTATTTTGTATTTGTTTTTTGCGAAAGTCGGAGGCAGCCTTATATCCACACGGCCCCTTTGAACAGAGGCTACAGTCCCCATCCAATCGCATCCGATTCGAGCTGGTCCGCTCACTCACTTCGGCGGGTAGGAATGTGTCTCGGTTTTCCTACGTTTTTTATTAGATCACGATTTGGATGTTAGCAAACATTCGCGCATACCAAGAGCCAGCACCAAGCATGAACAGGGCCCACAATGGGGGTCTCTACACATAATAGTAACTCACACCGAGAGATTCTTCACTCGGCTTTGGGCCACGAAAGCCAGGAGCGGCTTGGGGTGTTACCAAAATAGGTTCTCTTTCGGGCGCTTTGAGTAGACTATATTATTTTGAAAATATTATTTAGAAAGTGTAAGCTTTAATGAAAAAGATCTTGGAGCAATAGTGCAGTCTTTTGTGTTCATTTCTATTATATTTTCTATTTTTCTCAAAATTTGGGAGGTTTTTCCTGCTTGGCTTTGTTTAGGTCCTTTCTTAATGAAAGGGCGAATTGAACTTGTTTTGCTGGTCAATTTTTCATTAAAAACCATCTTTTACGAAAAAATATCACACGTGTGCACTTATAATTCCCAACTGGTTCTAACATCCCCGGAATGAAGTAAAGGTTGCCGGCCCAAGGTATAGGTATTTGTGCCATCATGTGCTATTCATTATGTGCCTTTAAATATGTGCTATTACATAGTTACATAGTTACATACATAACTCAATTTTGTTTTTAAATAAAAAAATAAAAGGTAAAACATTTTTAGTGACCTTCTCCATTCTTTGATGTAATCTGCAAATCTTTGAGTGAAATGTTTAAAGGAGGTAAAGGCATTCCTTAAAGCCATTGCTAAATTTCCCTTTTTGTATCTACTGGTTTTTCCATAGCGCCCTATATCCATGCCCTTCACCGCGAAGGCCGCCACTGCGCAGCCGCAGAAGTTTCAGCCGAGATGCTCGTTTGCCTCAAAAAAATAAAAAACAAAACCAACAGAAAAACAAAAAAAAAACTGTGCTCTTTCTGGTTTTTCACGTTACTCGGGCGCACAGCAGTTGTTGCAGTTGCAGCAGTTGTTGCCGCCGTCAATACGCACGTCTTCACATTACTAAGATATATGGGTGTATGTGTTGAATACACGGAAAAAAACATATGATAAGCCATCTAATATCAGATCGTATTTATCGAGAATACCTTTTCCTGAATTTTATAATCTTTCCTTCCTATTAAATGCTTATTGAACCTGCATTTAGATTAAATATAATATAGTTTTAAATTACTCTTTTAAAGGCATTCCAAAATTATTTTAATCAATTTTTTTGATTTCTTTATTCTACAGACTTTTAACAGGAACTTAATATTTATTATAATGTCAATAAAAACCTTGTCATTTTGAAGCAATTTAATAGTTTATTGATATTTCTATTATTCAATAGATTTTGTGTAAATTGAACTCATTTATTTCGCCTAAAAATGTTATTATAGTTTGCTTTAATCTCTTAAATCTAACAAAAACATGTATACTATTTAGGGTATATTTTTTCCGAGTGTAACGACGTATGTGTATGCGAATGTGAATGTTTTCTGCACTTTTTGCTATATTGTTGCTTTTGTGTCTAATGTTGTGTACATATATTCCTCTATTTTTTTTTTTTTTAGGTTTTCACGTTTTTATGTTTGCTTGAACTTTGTTACTAGTTTTTAAGTTATTTGTTGTTTTAACTGCAATATTGTTGCTTTGGTCGTTGTCAGTCGTTATCCGACTTTTGCAAAATGGCAAAGAAAAACGGGGCGCAGTTTTGTCGGTTGGCTGACATTTACTTTTTGCCGTTAAGATCGCGCTTAATTTGAGGATTTTGCAAACTCTTGCTTTTCTGCTTACGTTGATCGAGAACTGGTTTCGGCTTTAACTTGGCTTTATGGGTGTCGATTATTGTTGTTATTTAAATATATATCTTTTGCTATTGTCGCGCGTGGTTCGCCGTTCGCGAGTTGGCATTAATTATTGAAAAAGTCGCGGGCTGGGAATTCGATCCGTTTCAAGAAACCGCACTAAGACTTGGCTCAACCGACCCGTTCGGCGCTAAAAGACGAACTGAATATTTCGCTGGCTTGGAGCGTTAAAGATACACAGACACACAGATATTCACACTCACACTCACCTTCACCTACCTGTATCTCACCTGTGTTTGCGAGAGAGAGCCCTGGAGAGAGTTCCCTCGATCTTCAAGCCGCCTTCGATAAGTGCAACGAAAATTGTTGGCATTTCTTTTCAATCATTTTGCCTCATCAGCTGGCTCGGCTGATAAATAATGCAGCCATGAATGTCTTTCCCTCGAAGAATTGCCGAGATTTCTCCGCCACTTATCTTTTGGTCAACAAGGAGATAGTTCGGTGAGGCACAAACGGGCGAGGAAGGTTTTCCACAATGCCGGCTACCTGCAGGATGTGTGTGAATTCCTGGGACTGCTTTCTTTGTGCAAGAAAATGCCTAGACAAACATTTGGCAGGAAAAACCCTAGAAAACATAATCAGAATGAAGAGATAAGTGTGATTTTTGTAATTTAAAAATTATATTTATATGTGGGCAATAATAATTTATTCTTGAATATTAAAAGATTATAAATAAACCTCCATTATTTTATTATTTTTATTTTAAACCTTATCATAAAAAAAAAAAATTAATCCCGAAAAAATACACTTGTAAACTTATTAAGCAAAGCCACAGAAATATTTATAGTTTTAAATTCTATAAAAATTAAATTAAAATAAAAGTGTATGATAAAATATTTACTTTATCTAATTGATGAATTCATTCTAAATATGTTTAAGAAAATAAATACATTTTTAAAATAATATACTCATCTAAATGATACATTTTTTACAATGTCAGATATTTCTTATTTATAATTTAATATTTTCCCACAGAAATTCTTTTCTTTGTCAATTTTTCTGGGTGATTTTCAAACTCTAAACTGACTGAACAATTTCTTCTTACAAAAAATATTTATACCTATATTTCTAATATATATTTTTATATATTTCTAAACCAATTTATTGTTTAAAAGGTACAAATAAATACAAAAAATCAAATAAAATATACACTTCTTCCGTTTTGTGGTGAGTTTTCTCATTTCCACCAAAATTTTAAAAACACCGCCTCGCTGAACTCAACACAATTGTTTATCGCACCAAGTTCCATCCGCATCAACCACCTTACACTCCCATAGCTGCTGCCTATCAGCTGTTCCCTCAACGGCACGCACTCACGTATTTTTCGAATCCAAAGACCTTTTGTAAAAATTCCCTTAAAATTAAGTAGATTAAAGTTAGCCCGATAGAACACACCCGGAAAAATGAGTGAAATCAGTGCCTCTGAAAAGCTGGAGTACGTGAAATCCAAGATTGGCAAATATCCAGACTTTCCAAAAGCGGGCATAGTGTTCCGGTGAGTTGACATCGCCCTGCGACGAGGTTATCTCTGATTGGGGGCACTAGTGATTGTGCTACCAATTATGTTAATATACTCGCCAGCAATCGAACTCTTTATCAAGGTTGTTAATGTGTAGAGCCCTCTGTTTTCATGTAGCGACATTTTCGGAGCCCTCACCGATGCCAAGGCCTGCGCTTATCTGAGGGATTTACTGGTGGATCACATCAGGGAAAGCGCTCCCGAGGCTGAAATCATTGTGGGCCTGGACTCACGGGGCTTTCTCTTCAATCTGCTGATAGCCACCGAACTGGGAGTGGGATGTGCCCCCATTCGCAAGAAGGGCAAGCTAGCGGGCGAGGTGGTTTCCGTGGAATACAAACTGGAGTACGGTAGTGTAAGTAGCTAACGTTTGTTTTTATATATTCTAACTTTATTAACTTATTAAATACCCTTTCTTATCCTTCAGGACACCTTCGAGATCCAGCGCTCTGCTATTAAGCCCGGGCAGAAGGTGGTCATTGTGGATGATCTTCTTGCCACCGGTGGTTCCCTGGTGGCCGCATCTGAGCTAATCCGCAATGTCGGTGGCATTATTGTCGAAAGTCTGGTGGTTATGGAGCTCGTCGACCTGGAGGGTCGCAAGAGGCTGGATGGAAAAGTGCATTCCCTGATAAAGTACTGAGAGTTAATCAAAATGTGGCAAAAGGCCCTCTACATATGCATTTACCTGTTACCTCTGAAAGCAACTTTTCATTTAGCAAATTTTCATACCAACTGTAAAATGTTAACATTTTGTAAATCAAAAAATTATTTTTATAAAGCTATAGATTTGAATTTAATAAGAGAAGTTTTCTTATGATAAATAAGGACTCAATTACTTATGGCAGAACAAATATTGCAACCTTAATATTGCTTCTGAAAGAGGAAGCCAAAAAGTATGCTATATTTTTTGTATTCTCAATTTTATTTCGTAATTCCAAAACATGTTTTTTTGGTAAGCTGATCTGAAATTGGTGAAGATTTAACCAAGAATATATATGTATGTATATAATTTATTTCTGTCTTAGCGATGCCTGCCGCATCCTAAACTCTCACTGCGCACCTGCACTCTCTCAAGCGCTGTTGCTCTCTTGCAACGCTATCTCTCCACACGCTATTACCGTTACCGGCTTGCTCAGCAATAAACAAAAATTGTTGTGCTGCCGTTAAGAGATAACAGCCCGCACCCGCCCCCGCGATAAACAAATCAAATGTGGAAACAGCAACAAAAGCAACCCCCAGAAGACAAAAAAATACAACAAAAAAAAAGTAAACGCACAGGTAAACAAATGGCAAGCAAAGCTGGCGGGGCAGAGTCACGGAATCAAGGATTAAAGGAGCTGAAGGAGGAATCGCATGCGCTGGCAAAAAAGCTGGCAGAGGCAGTGGAAAGAATGAAAGCTTGACGAAATGAAACCGAAAACTGAAACTGCGCTGCCTGCTGTGCTGCCAGCAACGCGGGTGTGCTCATTTCGCATTTGATTTCATTCGTGAAATGTGCGTTGTGCGGTGATGACGCTAACGGTTTGTGTTTTCTGTTTTTGTTTGGTGTCCTCTCCGTGTGTGTCTCTCTTCGCCTCCGTCTGCTGCGGGGTATAAAAAAAAAATCAAAATATTAAAAGCACGCCTGGCGAATTAATATTGATTGCGCGCTTTTCTTCAATTGGCAAACAATTGAATATTTGAAAAGCAACAAATATAAAAACCTGACTTCCATTAATGGAGGCTCATCTCGGCCCCGTGTTTGTTGTTGTTTATTGTTGTGAAAAGAAAGAGGAGGCGGAGAGAGAGAGAGGAACAAAGAGGAGGCAACAGAAGGCAAAGCAATTGACAGCACGTTACGTATACGCCTCTTACGCCCCGCTTTTATAGTAGGATTTTGTTTGCCAAGTTTGTTGTGTTTCTGTGTGCATAAAATAATTATTAAAAATCAAAACCTTTGCCAAAAATAAAATAAAAGTGAAAAGTACTGGTGTTTGGTCAGCAAATGTGTTGTAAAAAGACATAAAACCACACCAAAATGCAAGTAATAGTTGCTAAAGAATTAGCTACAAGTTTATTTTGAACCAAACATTTAAGTTAAATTAGAATTCATTTTTTAATGGATTCATTTATAATAATATTTTAAAGTGTTTACAAAAGCTAAACAAAATTAAAAGTAAATTAAAAAGCCAAATTCGTATTTTTTATGGCAAAAACCTTTAAAGCGAAAGCAAAATAAGGGCAAGGCCAAGTTAAAAATATATAATCATTAGAAGAAGAACATTCAACAAATTGTACATATTATAAATAATTGAAAATTAAAGCTGTGAGAATGCATATAAAATAAATAAAGTTTAAATTAAGCGGAAAAATCAACATAAACGTATAAATATAAACAAAGTCAAAATCTTTTTAAAAGTGAAACTGGGAAACATAAACAGATAAAAAGCACAGCTGATTAAGATAAATAAGGGGTGAAAATAAATGGAAAATGTAAATAAGGCAAAGACAAAAGTATGCAAAAGTGAAAATGAACCTGCAAAAATAAATAAGGGGTGTTTTCCACCCGACACAAACACCTCAACTCGAGTTGCACTGCGAATATAATGGAGTTTGAAGAGCGGAGAAAATCAATAAACGACTTCCTTTTTGTTTTTTGTTTTTTTGCCTTGGCCTCACTTGCAACAAAAAGCACACCCCCGATGAATCAAAAACAAAAGGGGGAACGCAGGGAAACAAAAGCGGAAGCGAATCAATTGTTTGGCTTGAAATATTGAGCTCTGTGCCTGCAGTGGCACAATTATTGCTTTGTGGTCGAAAGCCACTCGACCATAAAGCAAAAAACTGTCGTTCTCCTCAAGCTGACTCAATATATTTTTGGTTTCCGCTCTTGTTTATTTTTTTTTATTTCTGATTTTATGCTTTTTTTTTTGTCAAGAACATTTAGCACAGCAAACTAAATTTAGACAGCACAACGTCGACGCCGACGATGAGCAGCACCACTTACAAAATTTGTCGCCAACTGCAGGCAAAGTTTGCGGCCGCGTAGCAAGCAGCAGCAGCAGCAGGAAATGTCCCATGAATATCAATAGCAGATATACACGCTATATCAAAAAATAACACACAAAAAATCAATCCAAATCCGGCAACCACTGCAATCCACTCCAATCCGGAAACGAAGAGCGGATAGAGAGATCCAGGTCCAGGCCCCCATCAGTTCCTATGCAGCAAGCATCGAGTTTAAATGAAATTGAGCAAGAGCCTGGCAAACTGTCGCGCCATCCGGCGGTATTTGCTCATCTTCACGGCCGTCTCCCTGCTCCTGCTGCCCCTCTCCCTGGTCTACCTGGTGTGGAATGAGCAGCTGCAGAAAATCCGAGGATTCGAGGTGAGTGGAACAGTAGTTGATGGTGGGTGGTGGTGCCCCCGAAAAGGGGGGAGTAGCATGTTCGGAATAGTTCCGTGTAGCCCTTTGAGGGTCCGGCACAAACATTTGCTGGACAAATCGCTTGTACAGAGTACACAGAGAAAAAATAGCAATTTAATTTTAAATATATATACTTTAAATCTTATGTTATGTAATAAAGAATTTTGTTTAGTTAACTACTAAAGCCTTGAGGTAATTATAATGATGTTTAATAACATTTTAACGACTTTTTTTAAATGAGAGGATCATGGGTCAAGTCATAGCAAAGGAACCCTAATTAAATTCTACTTTGTACATATAATCTAAAGCTATTAGCAACACAAAAACCGGCCACCAAAAATTAATGGGACACCTCTAAATTTTTATTGTTATTTACTAATGGTGGCTGAAATGGTTAATTACTTCACATTAATATTGAGTGCTAATTAATGTCTTTCAAAGAACAAAACCGGCTTAGAAATGCAGTTTTTTTTTCTCTGTGTACCGTTAGCTGTAGATATATATGTATATATATACTCGCTTGTAGTTGCCGCCCGCCTGCCCAGCCTGCCTCGCCCACCCCTTCATTGCCTGACAACAAACAAATTGCAGGCCATCGATTGCCTGACTCAGTTTCAGGCCATCAAAAAAATACAAACCAAATAAGAAACAGAGGAAACCGAAAAATGATACAAAAAAAAATCTAGAAAAAAACGAATTAGAAATAATTACCTTAAAAATGCATAGCCAATCTAGCGATCTGTGGAAAATAATCAACAAACTTATCAGCTAAATAATAATGCTCTCTGATTCTATAAACAATTCCTATAAACATGTGAAGGGCATTCGAGGCTGAGAAAAACTTACACGCAAATTAGCAGGCCAATCGCAGCGATCGCTATAAATACACGATAAATAGCTGGAATTGAAAGCATCTTCATGTTGTTGTTTACCTATCAGAGTTGTTAGAGATTTTAGCATTCTTTTTATTTCGCCTCTAGCACTTGCACAAACATTTTTATCGCCTTAATTCTCACCTGGGGGAGCTGGGAACTGGACTGCGCTATTTGAACTGGCTTTAAAGCATTAAGCATCGCGCCCGATTGGGTGCAAATTAATTCGAAATTAGCTGTGGGCTCTTATCGCCTATTTGTGCATCAAATTGAGCAAATGTCGAATAAAGACGGAATATTCCGAGCGTCAGAGCAATTACACAAAACACACACACGCACTGAGAACTTGGACTCCGGGGTACGGAAAACGTTTCGGTCTTGGCTTATAATCACATAAGCTAGCTGGCCGCCCACCGGACACGCCCAGTTTTGACCCGGACAACCCTTTTGGCATGGCCTAAGCCGATTACACAGGAAACAAATATTTTTAAATGATTTTTAATGAAAGTGAAAATAAATTTAAAACTTGATAAATACCTGAGCTGCGTTGGAGCTTGGTAGTAATTGTTTTCAATTCAAATAATGCTCAAAAGAGGGATAAAAAATATTTTAAAAAATATATTTTAATATCTTAAATGCACATTTAAGTACTTTAGTTACAGTGTAAGCCAAGAATCATTTAAGATAGTTAGATTTCCTTAATTGTGTGCCCTTGATATCATTTCTCAAAGTATCCAAAGTCATAATACTTTTTTTCCTGTGTAATTATCGGTTGCAATGCTTTGTTGCGTGGTCGCCCGAGACTTTGGGGCGCCCGCCCCATCGCAGTCGGCCTTGGCCAAATGGCTTGCAAAAAAGGCAAAAGTTTCGCACAAATTACACTTAATTGCGTGTGGCATCATGAAAATGTAATCAAGGGGGGCTAAATTCGATCGATTCCTGCAGCTCACCTTACTTAAAAGACATACCTTTGCTGGCCCACTGATAATTTGCAGCCAAAATGACAAATGCTTAGGCTGGCGCCCAAAATGAAAAAATAATGAAAGCACATGAAAACACGCATACGCCGCGTTAACTCCCAGCTAAGCTGTTGTATTTTCCTTGTTTCGGCCGGCACACACGCATAATTAGGCAAAGCTTTTGACACTCACACCCCACCAGGAACACACAGGTCACGCCCCCTGTGCATTCGTATAACCCCCCAGAAGAGTCCCCAATTCCAACATCCTACAGTCCCTGGGCATTCCGCACAGTTCACGTCATGCTCATAGCGCCACTTTAACTTAAAATGACAAAAGGAGGAATATTCTATACCCTTACATGTACTAAACAAAATAACAATTTTATAGAACGGCTTCTTTATTCACTACTTAAAGCTTAATTTCCCAAAAATGTAAATAAATTCAAATTCAAGACAGCCCCAGAGTGTGATATTGTAGAGCCTTCCTAAAACATGTACTATATTGTATCGCATTCCTTATTCAGTCCCAGACGTCCAGCCATGACCATTAATCAATCTTATCTGAACCTTGCATTCATGTAGCAGAGACTTGTATCCGCCCCACACCCCATAGTGAAAGTCCCCGCCCCTCGAAGGGTATATACATATAGCATATATAGTATATGGTACTATTTCTGGGGAGCGAGGCGTACGCGAGTCAAATGCAAAGTGTTGCCATGATGACGCCAACTTATACGCGGAGCCACTTGATTCATGCTGCGATTCCCCGGACGACAGTTAACTCTGGCGTCTGGCGGTTTTAATTGGGGATGGAGATTGAGATTGAGATTGCGACCTTGACAGACCGCTTGTAAATTACGCATACGCCACGTCATCTCTGCCTATTAACCCAAAATAGTAACGAGCTAAAGAAAAACCTACAACCCAAAACACCCAAAATGCAACTGATCTTCTAGGCTTTTAATGTGCAGCAGCAGCCGCCGCCGCAGCAGCAGCAACAGCCACATCCGCAGCAGGGGCAGCAACAGGAGCAGCAGCAACATGGCCAGCTTCCGTATCCGGTGGTCCGGTATCCGGTGCTGCTGCTAAACAAGAACAAGAACAAGGATCTCACCGTGGTGGCAACGGGCAAGACTAAGAACAAGTGGCGCTATGTCGATAAAGTAAATATGTAACCCACACAAACACCGCACACGAACACCACCACCACCACCACCAACGCAAACACCCAACACCAAAAACACTTAAACTCACAGGCTCGTATAATTAATGATGTAAACAAAGCAGACAAAGCTAAAATAAAATTCAGAGAAGCCATAGTTGATTGGCAGGCATTTGGGCACGGCATTCGATTCGATTCCCACTCCCATATCTCGACTCCTCCATCATTTCCATCAAAGCTTGAGGTCCTTGCTGCGACTCTCCCCGTTGTGGCTAAACTTCTCTTTATGTTTGTCCATCGACAGGACAGCAACCAGACGCTCCTGCCCCTCATTCCCGAGTATGCCGTGCAGACGCTATCGTCACAGGAAATGCTTCAGGTGGAGCAGCGGATGGACCAGCGCAGGGAGCGGCTGAGGGACAAGTGCTCCGCCTACGGCCTGGACATCCTAGGTGGGTTCCATGGCACACTTACAGGTCCCCTCACTCGCCTCTCTGACTAACCACGTCCATCTTACTTACAGGTCACGACTCGTGGCACACCCCGAATACGTGGGAATTTCTGGTCAACAAAAAGTATCATATTATATGGTGGGTGCGGAATTTATTCACAGTTCGGTTAACCTATCGACACTTTAAGGGGTCTAAGAATATGCTTTCAATTCGTATTTGTAAAGCATACTCTTAGGCATCTTTCTAAGTGATGTTCATATCAGTTTGATTTCGATTTAACATTCCTTACCCTATTTACTATGTAGGTGCAATGTCTTTAAGGCAGCTTCCTCATCCTGGATGTTCAACTTCAATGTCCTGGCCGGCTACTCACCCAGCTATTTGCGCAAAACCAAAAAGATTCTCCTCAATCTGGCCAGGGAGCGATATCCCCGTGTGACCCTCGACGAGGTTGGTGTGCCAACGGATTGCTTGCCCCGGGCGTATTGAGTTACTATTTATTATTTGTCTTTCCCTTTCCCGCAACAGCTGCGTGAGGCGCAGAATTACTCGCTGACCTTCATCATAGCACGCGACCCCTTCGAACGGCTGTTGAGCGCCTATCGAGACAAGATGGTGTTCGCCCTGCCCTACTCCTTCCACGACAAGTTGGGACGCAGCATTGTGCGTAATTATCGCAAGAAGGTAAGTACTTGGTCTGGTCTTCTTTGATTTAATTTAAACTTTATGATTTTCCTTCAACAGCCCGCGTTGGCAGCCCGTGCGGCCAACACGAAGTTCCCGTCGTTCCCCGAGTTTGTCCACTGGCTGCTCGACCAGGTGAAGCGGGGCAGCTTCATCGACATGCACTTTGTGTCGGCCACATCCTTCTGCACGCCCTGTCTCATCCGATTCGACATGATACTGAAGTTCGAGTCGCTGGCGGAGGATCAATTATATCTAATCGAAAAGACTGGCCTGAAACGGGTGATAGCGCCCGTGTGGCGCAACATGGGGAAGGGTCGCAAGACGCACGAGCTCCAGCAGCAGTTCTACGCGCAACTGACGCGCCAAGAGATGCTGGAGCTCTACGAGTATTACAAGTAACATATACACATTTTATTAATATATTTAATTAATTTAATTCTATTTAACAGATACGACTTTGAGCTGTTTGACTATGACATCCAGGAGTATCTGCAGGTGGCCCGGCCGGACGTGGCCGATAGTCCGGCGGGCACAAAGAATTAACCCCGGCTATGAATCTTAGACTTTGCTAAATAGAAAATACCAATGAATCAAGTTCAACGAACTCACATATTAGCCGTCACAGTACGTAATTGCAAATGTTGATAATACTGAAGGAAAACAATAATAAACTTAACTACATTTAAACGAAATGTTCCTTCCTGTCTTTTTTTAATTTAAGAGTATTTTAAAGCTTAGTATTTGCTTTAAGTGCTCCATTTCATTGGGTTTTCCTTAACTCGAGCTGTTATATCCTTTTTTGTTTGCCGGGAAATTTTTTTGAACCAATTAGTGGTGGCAGACCAAATCTATTGCCCCTAATAGAAATATCGATCTATCGATGACTTAAAAATACTTTTTTGAATAATGTATCGAATATAGTTTTAGTATTTTCGTGCAAATCGAAAGAACCGAGTGAAAACGGGAGCACCAATTTTAAAAATTGAAATACGGTGGAATAGCCCGAATGATCCTATTGAAGACTAAAATATGTTGGAAATTTTGAATTTCCTTAAACCTTGCTTGGGAAAAAGTCTCTGCATTTAAAGAAAACAAGCACTAGTGACGATAGTTGGTCACACTAACCCAGTTATCGATAGCGACAATCGGATGTTTTGACAGCTCTATCACGTAGACGCCGAAAACGCGCAATTTTTTCATCCGGCGGAATTTGCAAATGCGAATATTACTCTTTAACTGAGTTCAACTGGAGCATCTCAATAGCAGTTACCGTCAACGACTCCGGCAGCAAAATGTCAAGCTTTGTGCTGGATAAGGAGGCTTTCGTGCGCCGCGTTAAGCGCCTGTACACGGAATGGAAGGTGAGTTTGTCTGTCTGTCTGTCTGCCGGGCTTTTGTGTCTGCTTGCAGGAGCCGCCTCGAAAGCATGGAGAGCAGACTTTTACCTACAGCACAGATAAAGTGAATTAAGAATTATGATGAAATTAGGTAGTTTATTGTGAGAAAAACGCCCATGCAGCTGCCATGTTAGGTTAGGCGCGAAAGATTGCTATCAGTGTGGTGTGTCTATCAATACCATGAGATTCTACAGGGCTTGTCTGCGATTTTGCATTCTTTTTCAGGCTCCCAGCATCGGGCACGACGACGCCCTGAGCAATTTGGACTGCATCATGAGCGTGGTGGGCGCCGACGAGGATGTGATCTACTCCAAGTCCATGGCCCTCCAGCTCTGGCTCCTGGGCTACGAGCTAACGGACACGATCTCTGTGTTTGCCTCGGACGCGATCTACTTTCTGACCAGCAAGAAGAAGATTGAGTTCCTGAAGCAGACGCAAAATATCAGCGAGGAAGGCGTTCCAGAAATCAAGCTGCTAGTGAGGGACAGAGTAAGTTTTGTTGTTTCCCTCAAATGTGCTCTGAATCGCTGAATATGCTTTTTCCGCCCAACAGACGGACAAGGACAAGGGCAACTACGAGAAGCTGATCAAGGCCATACAGAACTCAAAGAAGGGCAAGCGTTTGGGCGTCTTTACCAAGGACGCCTATCCCGGGGAGTTCAGTGAGGCATGGAAGAAGTCACTGATGGACTCGAAGTTCGAGCACGTGGACATTAGCACAATCATTGCCTATTTGATGTGTCCCAAGGACGAGTCCGAGATAAACAACATACGCAAGGCCTCGCTGGTGTCCATGGACATCTTTAACAAGTATCTTAAAGATGAGATCATGGACATTATAGATTCAGATAAGGTAAGAGTTTGTGAGTTCTTATATCCTATATCCTATTCATCGATCAATTCTCCCCACTTTGCAGAAAGTCAAGCACACCAAGCTGTCGGATGGCTGCGAGTCGGCCATAACTGAAAAAAAATACACCAGCGGCTTGGATCCCCGATTGCTGGACATGGCCTATCCTCCCATCATTCAGTCGGGCGGTAACTACAGCCTCAAGTTCTCCGCCGCTGCCGATAAAAATGCCCTTCATTTCGGCGTGATTGTGTGCTCCTTGGGTGTCCGTTACAAGTCCTATTGCTCGAATATATCGCGCACCTTCTTGGTCAATCCCACCGAGGCCATGCAGGAGAATTACACGTTTCTGGTAAGCGTGCAGGAGGAGATACTCAAGCAGCTGGTGCCCAACACCAAGCTGTGCGAGGTCTATGAGAAGACTTTGGCGTACGTAAAGAAGGAAAAGCCCAGCATGGTCGATAATCTAACCAAAAGTTTCGGTTTCGCCATGGGCTTGGAGTTCCGGGAGAACTCCATAGTGGTTGGGCCCAAGTGCCAGGCGCTAATCAAGAAGAATATGGTGTTCAACCTCCACGTGGGCATCTCCAATTTAACGAATCCCGATGCCACCGACAAGGAGGGCAAGACCTATGCCCTTTTCATCGGCGACACTGTCCTAGTGGGCGAGCAATCGCCGGCCAGCGTGATGACCCCCTCCAAGAAGAAGATCAAGAACGTTGGCATATTTATCAAGGACGACAGCGACGAGGAGGAGGAGGATGTGGATGACAAGAAGGCAACCCAGGAGGATCAGAGCACAGAGATTCTGGGACGTAGCAAGCGGAATGCCGTGATGGACTCAAAGCTGCGCAACGAGATAAACACCGAGGAGAAGCGCAAGGAGCATCAGCGGGAGCTGGCCCAGCAGCTAAACGAGCGCGCCAAGGAGCGTCTGGCCAAGCAGGGGGACACCAAGGAAGCGGAAAAAGTGCGCAAGAACACCGTCTCGTACAAGTCCATGAGCCAGATGCCGCGGGAGCCTGAAGTCAAGGAGCTCAAACTGTATGTGGACAAGAAATACGAGACCGTCATCATGCCTGTGTTTGGCATCCAAGTGCCGTTTCACATTTCCACCATAAAAAACATCTCGCAGTCCGTGGAGGGCGAGTATACGTACTTGCGCATCAACTTTTTCCATCCAGGCGCCACAATGGGTCGCAACGAGGGCGGTTTATACCCACAACCGGAGGCCACATTCGTGAAGGAAGTGTAAGTATCCTTGGGGTTTGCATGTAAGAATATATAAATATATCCTTTATATTTCTATATTCCCCTTTCAGAACCTACCGCAGTTCCAATGTCAAGGAGCATGGTGAGGTGGCTGCACCATCGGCGAATCTTAACAACGCTTTCCGGCTGATCAAGGAGGTGCAGAAACGCTTCAAGACCCGCGAGGCGGAGGAGCGAGAAAAGGAGGATCTCGTAAAGCAGGACACACTCATTCAGTCGCAAAACAAGGGCAATCCCAAGCTCAAGGACCTCTACATTCGCCCCAATATCGTGACCAAACGGATGACGGGCAGCCTGGAGGCGCATACCAATGGCTTCCGTTACATCTCGGTGCGCGGCGACAAGGTCGATATCCTGTACAACAACATCAAGAGCGCCTTCTTCCAACCCTGCGACGGCGAGATGATCATCCTGCTGCACTTCCACCTCAAGTATGCCATTATGTTTGGCAAAAAGAAACACCTCGACGTGCAATTCTACACGGAGGTGGGCGAGATCACGACGGATTTGGGCAAGCATCAGCATATGCACGATCGCGACGATCTGGCAGCGGAACAGTCGGAGCGGGAGCTGCGGCACAAGCTCAAGACGGCCTTCAAGAGTTTCTGCGAGAAGGTGGAGGCGATGACCAAGTCGGTGGTGGAGTTTGATACTCCATTCCGCGAGTTAGGCTTCCCCGGCGCCCCCTTCCGCAGCACCGTCACCCTACAGCCGACCTCTGGCTCTCTGGTCAATCTCACCGAATGGCCGCCATTTGTCATCACGCTGGACGACGTCGAGCTGGTGCACTTTGAGCGCGTTCAGTTCCACCTGCGGAACTTTGACATGATCTTCGTGTTTAAGGAATACAACAAGAAGGTGGCCATGGTCAATGCCATTCCCATGAATATGCTGGATCACGTCAAGGAGTGGCTCAAGTAAGTCTTACTTTTTAAACCCTTAAAGAACCCGACTTGAACTGGGATATCCTTTGGCAGCTCCTGTGATATTCGCTACTCGGAGGGCGTCCAGTCGCTCAACTGGCAAAAGATTATGAAAACCATCACCGACGATCCCGAGGGATTCTTCGAGCAAGGCGGCTGGACCTTCTTGGACCCCGAATCGGGCAGCGAGGATGAGAACGAAACGGCCGAGTCCGAGGAGGATGAGGCCTACAATCCCACAGATGCCGAATCGGATGAGGAATCAGAGGAGGATTCCGAGTACTCGGAAGCCTCTGAAGATGAGAGCGACGAAAGCGATGGTAAAATGTCTACTAAACGTTTTAAATAATTAAAATTAAGGTGAAATATTAAATACTTTACAGATGATCTTGGCTCTGATGAGGAGTCCGGCAAGGATTGGTCCGATCTGGAGCGCGAGGCCGCCGAGGAGGATCGAAACCATGACTATGCCACCGATGACAAGCCACGCAATGGAAAGTTCGAACCCAAGAAGCACGGCAAGAGTTCAAAGCACAGGTAAGACAATCGTCCTTAGCTCTTAATTATATCCTCCGGGTTATATCTATATATCAAATCGTTCTTCACCACTTTTACAACCCCCCCAACAACAGTCGCCGCGAACGCGAGGAGCAGCGATCGTCGTCGTCGCACAGTAAAAAGCATAAGTCGAACTCCTCCTCCTCCTCTTCGCATTTAAAATCCTCCAGCTCCAAACATGGCAGCTCATCTAGGTTTGTTAATGAAAAAACCCTGCCAAAAACACACCTATAACAATATATTCCAAACATTCGGCCTAACGCAAGCGCCTTTCACAAGACATTTACATTTACATTCACAACAACCAACAAATCCTACACATTACAAATTTATTATTTATTTTCGGTTTAATTCTAAAAACCTGAAAATGGTTTTATTTTCGGTTTTACAAATTTATTGGCTATATATTTTTTATTATTTATTGTTTTTATTTGACTTTAAATGTACACCCCTGTAGGATTTGGTATCTAATTGGTTTTGGTTCCATAATCTCTCTCAAAACTCACACATTCTAGCTTGCTCCAAAATTTGTCTAACCAAAATCAACTTCTCTCAGGAGAGTAAAAATTCAGATTTAAAATAAAAAATCAATATGCTGTCTTTAAAGCCCATCGAAATCGTCCAAGGATAAGTACCACAACCGGGACAAGCATCATTCCTCCTCGTCGTCGGGACACAACAAGAGCAGCAGCAAGGACAAGGATCGCAAGCGTTCGCGGGACGATAGCCGCGACAATGGTCACAAATCGAAGAAATCGCGTCATTAGGAGGGGGGACTTTTGTCTCTCTCCCATCGAATTAAATATACAAATAAATTTTTTAACCTTCCTGTTATCAATGTCAGTCTGTTATGAGGTCCTCCCACACTCCATTCACCCTTCACCCTTCTCACACTTTGAAAGTTGTATTACAAATTAAATATAATACGCGATTATACATTTATGTAATAAACTAAGATATAAGAACTACATGAGCGACTGCTACTTGTTCCAGCTGCCGAGAAGGTGGCGATAGGCGTGCACTACCTCCTCATCCCCGCTGTCGTGACGACGCCGCCTCCGCCGGCTTCCACCTCTATGTGGTTGCTGCTCCTGCTGATGAGTGTGTGGACTTCCTGCGACGGCCGCCACGCTGCCCCGCCTCTTGTGGGCGTCGAACATGTTGCGAGTCTTATTGATCGGATAGCGCATCTTGTTCTTTAGCCAGGTGGTAAAGGCCCGTTCGTTGTCCTGCATCTTTTTGAGCTCTTGCTCGTTGCGATTGATGGTCTGCTCCATGGAGAAGCGCTGCTTGCGTCGCAGCTGCTGCTCCCGCCGCTGGAGCTGTTGGGCGCTCAGTCCGTACTCGGACATGTAGCCCGTGTAGCGGGGCAGCTTACCCTGCAGCGAGTGCCGGTGCTCGCAGCAGATCTTGTAGTTCATCCGAATGGAGGGAGAGGTCTGAGAGGTCGAGGCTGTGGCGGATGAAGGAGTGGGCGTGGGCTTAGACCGACGCCGAAAGCTAAAACTCCGGGAGGTGAAAAAGGACTTTGAAGTGGCCTTGGGGCATTCGGAGCAGGATTGCTGCTTAGCCAGCCTGGTCAAGTCCTCCGGCTCCTCCTTCTTGTAGTAAATGCTCTGCTCGTTGAGCTCAAAATTATCGGGTATGTAGCTAGCCACAATTATGGATAGATCATCCTCTTCATCGGGCTCGGGTGCAACGGCTGCAGCAGCTACTGGCAGCGGCTGAACAAAGGGTTCTTCTTCTGGGACCCCAACCCCCGTTAACCTGTCTATGGTGGCCTGCTCCTTGGGATCCAACGTCTTGTAGAGACTCTTGTACGCATCGCGAAGCTTCTGGCGGGCCTCGATTAGGGTGCGCTCCTCCTCTTCGCAGTCGGACTCGGTCAGCAGATTGGTGAGACTCTTCTGATCCGAATCATCCTGATCGAAGTTGGAGATCTGCCTTACTTGAAACGGTGCGGCAACGGAGGCATCTTTTACGTCATCCAGATCTGTTTCATCCACGCCGGAGAAATCGTCTTCATCTTCCTCCGGGATGGCGAGTGCCTCCTGGACAACAGGTGGCGGAGACACCTCGGTCAAGTCTAGAATTTCTTCGCAAATCTCCTCCTCAACCTCTTCCTCCACCGGCGAAGGAGGGGTCTCCTTCTCTACAATTTTGGAAGCCTCTGGAGATGTGACAGTCTCCTCTTCAGCGATGGTCTTTAGCTTGAGCTGCGTCAACTGCTGCAGCAGCTCATCCGGCGGACTGGGACTCTGGTCCTTTCCCGGCGGCCCTCCCGTTGGCTCGTAATCTTCCAGATTTAAGGCGAACTTTACTTTGGTCACCTTCCCATTGCCGTTGACACCAGCTCCAGCACCCGCACCCTCTTCCTCCAGCGCAAAGAGCTCCTTGTTGGCCTCCTTGATCCTGTCCACAATGTTGTACTCGTTGACCGGCTTCAGGACTGCGGAATAATCCATGAGTAGGGACATGCTGCTGCCATCAACTTGGAAGAATCGACTTACAATAGACCTCGGCGTCCTCTCCGTCCGACTCCGGCTCGCGTTCGCCCATCTCTGCCAGCTGCGGGCACATCGATTGTCTTCGAGTGCCGCGTTATTTTTAGACCAACGCGTTTTCGCGCTGCGATTTACGACGATTCACCAAGGGGATAGGGATGTGCCGAAACTTTCCATTTCGTGTTAGGCAGCTCTACCGCCCGCACCTATCCAAGTCTAATGAACTTGGACGGGAATGTGCACTCCAGACATTAGTGGCGGCTCCTCTGGGCCACCTCTGCACTCCACACCACTTCCTACTGCGGTTATGACTTTGCCGTCCATGGTTTCAATGGCGCCCGTTGCCAGGCCACTCAGATATCCCGTGTTTGATCGATGCCCGGTTGACAAATTGTCTCTCTCTTTAGACAAGTCGGAGGCGTGGACAATAGCGATGGTAGTGGGACACTTCTTTGATGGGTGTACCTTTTATTTTAGTTTAAATTAAGATTAAAACTTTAATCACGAAATAATATTTTTAATTATTAAATTATTGTATTATTATTTTCATTATTATTATATTGTTTTATATTAACTATTAAAAAAAGTTGTATTAAAAATATCATAGTTTGTATCTATTTTATTTTAAAACATGGCGAGTTAGACTTGATTGTTAATGCTGTTCAAGAATATATATAGTTTATAGGGTCCGAAATGACTTATTCACTGCCTTTCAAGCTTCTTAGTAAAAATTATGATACCCTCAAAGGAGTATTAAATCCCTTTTTATATGAATATCTACCCTTTTATACCCTTGCAGGGTATTATAATTTCAGTCAGAAGTTTGCAACGCAGTGAAGGAGACCTTTCCGACCCTATAAAGTATATATATTCTTGATCAGCATCAACAGCCGAGTCGATCTAGCCATGTCCGTCTGTCCGTCCGTTTCTACGCAAACTAGTCCCTCAGTTTTAAAGCTATCTGAATGAAACTTTGCATATAGTCTTCTATATACTCTCACTGCTATATATGTCGGAACGGGCCGGATCGGACGACTATATCATATAGCTCCCATACAAATGATCGATAAATTTTTAGAAAAAAATTATAACTTAGCTGTTTTTCAACATTTTTGCACCATTTTTTAGATATGGCCATTTTATATTATCCGAAAAGTGCTTGTCAAACTGTAAAAGTTGAATCTCACTTGGACCAGTGCTTATCAAACTGTAATCTGAACTTCCGCCTAAAAGATGCCACGTTTTTAATAGAAAACCCCAAAAGTATGCTTTAATTTTTTAATAATGCTAATGAGCATCACAGATGCAAGTGAGCAAAATTTTTCATTCAATTTGGCCGCTTTCCAGACTGGGGTAACAGGCGAACAGAAACCAGCAGCAAGCAACTGAAAACTGGTATAAACTGTTATAAAAACTTTTGGGCAAATATAATAATTGGTATAAACTGTTATATTTCATTTTATGCATTTATACCTATTTGTTGCCGACAACAACAGCTTGATGGCAACAACAACCCCTTTACAACAACATCTCTGCAGCAGTCCATACAAATTTCTGAAATTTTCAATGCAAATTGCCCGTTTCCCAAATTGGGGTAACAGGCGAACAGAAACCAGCAGCAAGCAACTGAAAACTGGTATAAACTGTTATAAAAAGTCCAAGTTTCGAACCATTGATCTTGGAGTAAGCGAAGACTCAAACCTGATGTGACCATATTGTACATTTTTTGGCTAAAATGTGGCTTAAATGCACCTGGGCACACTGAATCTGACTTTGCATCAGTGATGCTCATCTATCTATTTTGTCCCAATAAAGAAATATAGCTAGATGGGCATCACTGCTATTACGCCTGATATATTGCCTCCCAATATTGCAAAATGCCTACATGAGCATCACTGATGCAAAGTCTGATTTTATAGCCTCCCAATATTGCAATATAGCCAGATGAGCATCACTGCCATTAAGCCCGATTTTATAGCCTCCCAATATTGCAATATAGCTAGATGAGCATCACTGATGCAGATGAGCATCACTGATGGAAGTGAGCATCACTGATGGAAGTGAGCATCACTGATGGAAGTGAGCATCACTGATGGAAGTGAGCATCACTGATGGAAGTGAGCATCACTGATGGAAGTGAGCATCACTGATGGAAGTGAGCATCACTGATGGAAGTGAGCATCACTGATGGAAGTGAGCATCACTGATGGAAGTGAGCATCACTGATGGAAGTGATCATCACTGATGGAAGTGAGCATCACTGATGGAAGTGAGCATCACTGATGGAGATGAGCATCACTGATGGAAGTGAGCATCACTGATGGAGATGAGCATCACTGATGCAAGTGAGCAAATTTTTTCATTCGATTTGGCCGCTTTCCAAACTGGGGTAACAGGCGAACAGAAACCAGCAGCAAGCAACTGAAAACTGGTATAAACTGTTATAAAAACATTTGGGCAAAAATAATAATTGGTATAAACTGTTATATTTCATTTTATGCATTTATACCTATTTGTTGCCGACAACAACAGCTTATGGCAACAACAACCTTTTTACAACAACATCCCTACAGCAGCCAATCCAAATTTCCGAACATTTCCATGCAAATTGCCCGTTTCCCAAATAGGGCTAACAGGCGAACAGAAATCAGCAGCAAGCAACTGAAAACTGGTATAAACTGTTATAAAAAGTCCAAGTTTCAAACCATTTCGGAGCCGGCGGAAGTAAGCAGAGACTCAAACCTTTTGAATCCAAATTTAGGTGTTATTTTACAACTGCACCTGGGCACACTGAAACTGATCGTCGTTAAATTCAAATTTGACAGTTAAATTCAAATTCAAATTTGGCAGTTAAAATATTTAAAAAAATTTTTTAAATTCTAAAAAAATTTTAAAAATCTAAAAAAAAGTTAAAATATTAGAAAAAAATTTTAAATCTAATTTGAGACATGAGCTTCTGGTATTTTATCAGAATTTTGGTATAAATTTTATGAAAATCGGACGACTATATCTTATAGCTGCCATAGGAACGAAAGGAAAGTAATAGACAAAATTATAACTTCGTTGTTTTTCAACGTATTTTCATTTACTTTAAGACATGAGCTTATTTCAGAATTTTGGTAACAATATTATGAAAATCGGACAACTATATCATATAGCTGCCATAGAAGCGATCCGTAGATGTAGAGAAAATGTAAAGCTGGGAATGTATAACTGTAACTTTCAAACTGTAAACATAATAAGTATAAGTAAAATGTTATGAAACTCTGTTTAGTGTCTGTTTTCGGCATTATAATTTATGATATAAATATGAAAACCAATCTGCAAGGGTATACAAACTTCGGCGTGCCGAAGTTAGCTTCCTTTCTTGTTATATGAATATTTTTTGGAAAAATCTAAGTTTAAAAATATCATAACTAAGCCAAAAAAGCATCAAATTTAATTCGGAAAGCTTTTCTGTGCTAGTTTTTTCTCGATTAACAAATCTGCTTACTAAATTTTAAATTTTAGGAAATCAAAATTTTGGTCCATTTTAAAGAATTTTAATGATGTAACCCCTTATCTAATTTTGAAAAAAAAAAATTGGAATTTTTTTTCTCTGCGAAATGTCTAGAAAGATTCGCCTGTTGATGCTGATCAAGAATATATATGATATATAGGGTCGGAAACGCCTCCTTCACTGCTTTAATAGCTTCTGACTCAAATCATAGCACTCTGCCAAGGTATAAATATAAAACTTGTGTACTTTCCAAAATATTAATAATAATGAAAAAGGTACTCTAGTTGTACACTGTACTGTACATGTACAAACTCCCCAAGAAGGATTTCCCACCTCTGACACTGGCTTGGAGTTGACACAAAAAAAAAACAAAAACATAGTTTGGCGATTAATTTCCATGCACTTTATTCCGTTTCCACACTTACTTCGCTAAGCACATTTAAAGCTTAATCCTGTCGAACCGAATCGAGTCGAATGGAGTCTCGAGGCAACAATTATTCAAATTCAATTCGAAATAAGTTCAAAGCTACAAAAATAATCGATTCGGGAGGCGCACAACACCAATATAATTAAACCTATTTAGCCATCGTTAACTTCGTATATTGAGCAAGTATGTATGCATGTATCTATCCTATTCCAATGCCGATTTGATTGTTTCTAACATTTCACTTCATCTCATTTGCATCGCCATTAGACCCGAAGGCAACCGAATCCATTTAACCTACGGTAGGAGTGGTTGGGAGCTGGAGATCTCGGCTGGCCCACAGTGCGTTCCGTGACTGATTGCTGGGCAAAGGTCAAGAGTGCCTTTTGTTGCTGGGAGGTTAATATAAATGAGATAGACTAAGGTCAGCCAGAAACTGGAACGTTATCGCAAACGACCCATAAACGATTATATTAATCTCTGGTATTATTGTAGGACATAAACAAATAATTATAGAAATTATAAGCCATTAAATGCCGACGTTATTACTTTAAGATTCCACAGCAATATATGCAATATATATCAGTGTTCCATCTCTCAGTTATAAAACGCACTGTGGTTCTTACGAGGATGAACCTGATAGTGAGGGAGATTCTGATACAATTCAATGGGCATGCCGCAAAACAAAAGATAAAACTTATCGCTGGCTTATTTTAGCTGCGTAAAGAAATTATATCACTTACCAGAAAAAAAGTTCTAAAAAAAAAAAAAAAAGAAATCACGTTCGAAAAAGTCATAAAAAAACTGATAAAAATATTCACATTTTATCATATCAATATGATATAATATACAAAAATAAACCATATAAAAGGTTAACTTATCGAAGAAAAATAAAAACCAATGAAAATTTTCAAAAAATAATATTTTTAATTCGAATAAAAACCAACATGGGAAAATACATACAAAAGTCACAAAATTAAGGCTACGATTTAGGAAATTAGGAGTGTGTGTAAATTTCGGATATATAAAGACCTGTATTAGCTATTAATGTGTTTTTTAGGTAAATTTATTGTTTTTTTTTTTTTTTAGTTTTTGTTTTTCTTTTTTTTCATTTAATACAACCATATTCAGCATTTCTTAAAAAAGAAATTATACAAACACTAAGAACTAAACGGCAGATGAGGTGTGTGAGTGTGTGTGTGAGAGGTATGCAATGACTGTGTGAGATGTAATTTCATTAGAGGACGGTTTGGGTCGGGTATTGGGGGTTAGGTCAGCGGAAAAGAGACGCATCATCACTATCAATAGCTATAAAAAGAACGTATTGCAATATCGGCGCATCGTCTTACATCACTAAGTAGCTTGGTATTATCGAGAGTTGTCTCGTTACAATCGATTAGGTTTAACAATATATATAATCATAAAGTCTAGTTCTAGGTTTTCTTTTTTAAGGCGCATCCATGGACAGACGCTCACTAATCATATACATAGATTCGTGGGTGTTACTTTATTCTTTTTTGAGTTGGTTTTGAAAATCTTAAAACATTTTCGTTTCGTTTCGTTTTTTTGGTGCAATTAAATTTCAATAAATTACAATTACCATTTATGTTTAGTATATATACGTATGTCATAACTCTAGGCGCTCCCTCAACATGTTAGCATCATATACAAAGTCTTTCGTTTGTTTTTCTTTCTCTATTTTAAATAAATTTCGAGTACGTACGTATGAATCTTTTGCACTTACCATGGGTGTATAAAAGAAAATATTGTAAAATATATATATATATATATAATCGCATGTATAAATATATATGTATTGCTAAATTTCGATTTAAGGGAGAGGGGGCTGGCGTTTGTCTAAACGAAATTTCTTGTTGCTAAACACAAAAAGTACGTTACACAAAAACCGAGTTTCGAGTTTTCGGGGTTAATTACGTTTACAAATAGAAATCAAGTTGTTTATACAACATATATATAAACAAACATATAGATTATATTTAGGGATCAGCTCCACTCCTCCCCGCCTCGCAATCTTTCTCTATCCTGTACCCCCGTCTGCTTTCCAGCTCAACCAGTGAACTCGGCAGCAGCTGTACGCTTATGTGAAGAGCGGCAGGTGATAAAAGTCGAACCCTCGATATCCCTTGGCCGCCAGCCAAATGTAGACAACGTGATAGGCGCCGGGTATAAAGCAGATAAGTCCTGCAACGAAGAACACCACGCCCTGTGACGTATTTTGCGGATCGGCAATGGCGAAGGTGCCCATGACGAACAGGCCCGTGCCCACGACCAGGAGCGTAAAGGCGGCCAGCACTGTGCGCCAGTTTTCGCGCACCTTTGGGTGCCGCCAGCAGTATGTGTTGGTCTCCTCAGTGGGCAGGTTGCCGTACTCCTGGATGAGCGAATCGCTGTCCCGGGAGGTTGTGTCCTCGGCATACTTGTTGTAGCCCCTGAGGAAAATTAGAAACAGAAATTTAAGTTTATGTTAAAATTTAATTTAATTTATATAATGCCTTTTTATGACCTTTAAAGTGAGAGTTCACAAGGGATAAGATTTTATTGAAAACGCGTATTTTCTTACTTAAAATCTTAATCAAACACCCAAAGATATGATATTTAAACTGTAATAATTTAGGTGTAAATGGATATTTCATTAAACTATCATGATAGAAAGTGTAATTACTACTCTATTATAGTTTTCTGCTTGAGTTTCATTGTAATACCACTTGATATCCAGTGGAAATCGATACTCTGTCGAAGGGGCCAAAGCTGACAGCCTTTGACTAACTTTATGCAGCAACAAAGCTTATAATAATACGTTTTTCATTATAGATTTATATTATTATCATTATATTATCTTATCACAGATGGTAAGCTAATTTTTAGCTGGTTTGCATTGACTAGTTTTAAAGCTTTTGTAAATTTTGATCGTGGTTTCAAGACCAACTTCCGACTGTTGCCTTAATAAATGTGTTAAGTAATATCACGATCTATCCACATATAAATGCACCTTTGTTCCCGTTCCCATTTCCATTTCCGATTCCAATTAAGATTAGTTATCTGATTTAAATCATATAAAAGTGATACAAATTGTAGGTTTGCAGGGCCTGCCACCTTCGAAAAATCCAGTTTTCAAAGTTAGCTTTCCTTTTTCGCAAAAGTGGACTTTAGGACCGCTTATCGGGCATCAAAGCCTCGGAGGAGGGGTTATCACGGGGGTTGGATTGCCGCCAAAAGCAAGACGCAATCAATTTCGCGTTTACATTTACACATTTCGTTTATATTGGCGGCGGCAGCGGCAGCAACTGAAGACCGACAAGTGCAAGCCGCCGAGCCGATGAGCTGGTTGGGCTGCCGCCTGACTAACTGGTTCCAGCTGACCGCAGGCGAAGGCCACCTCCTCCGAGAGGCCCTTATGACGAAATTTATGCGCAATGATTTTCACAATTGAATGCCAAATTAGGCTTGGACGTCTGCATTTATAATCCCCATAATTACATCGTCGCTTGTTGTTGCTGCTTCAGCGACACGCCATGCATGGCTAATGGAGGAGCCCCGTCTAAGAAATGGACAAGGCATCCCAGCACGCACGCGCCGCTTGGCTAACTTATTCAGGTGCTTCCGGCGGGAATAAGGAAGTGCCAAGAGTGGAGGCGGTAGAGAACGGAGAACCGGGAACCCAGAACAGGGCGTGCACCGTGTAGACCAGCTGTCAAGCTCCAATATAAATAAACACAACAATAACCAGAAACGGGAACAAAGCCACAGACTCCTTGTTTGGCGGACAGCTCGTGAATCACAGAACGCTAAATGGAAAATGGTGCCAATAACAGCCCACGCAGGCAGCTCCGATCGAATCGAAGACCAGTTTTCTGTTTCTTTTTTATTTGTTGTTGTGATGGCCCCACTCACTTGGGATCCTGAATGCGAATGGAGACATCTTCGGTGGAGCGACCTTGCTTGCCGCCCCTCATGGGCGTGGATATCACTGTGGAGCCATAGACGCGTATCGCCTCGTCCGTCTCCTCCTCGAAGGCGTCGTGTATGGAGAAGCCCCGGGCCCCGTTGTTGTACATGTTTCTAGTGGTTCTTCCGCTGCTACTGCTAAGGCTGCTGCTGTTGTTTAATAATAAACGATATTGGGGCTGCCAACGTTGGCTGCTCGCCTTCGCCTCGCACTCAGCACTTAGCACTCTTTTGCGACGGAAATCGGGGAAAGTGCGGCTCCGTTCTAGCGCTGGCCCGTCTGCATGGTTGTGCACACCGATATCGGGATGTGTTATACCGTTTTTTGCTGACCGTAACCGTTGCAAAAGTGTTTTTCTTTTCACATTAAAAACGCGACACAAAAGACGAACAGCGGAAAGAAGCAGACAATAATAGTGTGACCAGATGAAAATTTGGCTCATGCCCTAGAAAATCTCATAAAGTGGAAACTAGTCTTCAAGGGGAAGAAAATACTAAAACGTTAAATGACGTTGCCAGATTCGTTCACATATTTCAAATTATATATCCCGCCATAAAAAATAACGTGTAGAAAATTCAAATGCATAAGATCGGAGATATAGATCTTTTAAATCATTTTATACAGCCAAATACAGTAGTATGGAATAGTATAACATTTATTAAAAGGATCTATTCTTGTGTCTTGTGTTGCAGAGTTTATTTTTATATGCCCAAGTATCATAAGTTCTAATTTCCTTATAAATAGCCAGTTACATGGATCTTGCAGTACTCGTATCCTCTACGAAATCCTACAATCACAGCACATGAGCGTGTAATACAGACATTTGACAACCAAATCGTCATCGCCGTCACTGCCCTTCGACGAATTGTGTTTGGCCAAGTCATTGTTATTGTAGCTGTACATCTGTTGATCAATTATTTCATCGGCCTCAGGCTGGAGACTGCTCTCAAGGCCCTTTGTCGACGCCTTATTTCGCTTGTTCTTGTGCATCATCTCGTTGCAGTTTCGCTGATGCACCATCTCGTCGATCCAATCAAAATCGGTGGAAATGCTTTCTATGGAGTTGATATCCTCATGTTAGAAAAAAATAATTATTAAGACGAAACTTAATTTTATAGCTCAAACTGATGACTACCTGATTGTTATTATGGTTCCTATTTTTATTCTTCTGTGGCGCCGATTCCTGAGAATGAGCCGAGTCCTGCGCTTCTTGTGCCATCGAAGTTTCCGCCGAGCTATTTAGCACCACATCCGTTTCTATAGCAGCTGCTGGAACTTTGGGCAAATCATCGGGACTTATAAAGTTGGGCTGCCACAAAAAACACCTCAAGTTAAAGACCTATATAGTGGGACTCTGTGCACACAACTTACAATGTCCTGTATCTCGGCGGTGGTGATGACAGTAGGCAAAGTCATGGCTCTAGTGGGTGCAATCTCCGGTAGAGAGGCCGTCGGTCTCAGGTTTGGAGAGTATGTGGTGACGGAGGTGACCTGCAGAGTGGCGGTCTCCGAAAGTTTGGTCAATGAACCATCAATGGACGAATCACGTTCGGTCAGTGAGCAAGTGGTCAGGCTCAGGGATGAGGGTCTGAAATAAACCAATTGTGTTATCGTCTTCTAAGTATTACAAATAGGCCGAGAACATTGGCATTTCGATTTTAGCCATAAATATTACGTTCTCCTCCCGTTTCTCAATTTCAGCAATTCTCCGGGAGCACCTTACTTACAAGTCATTAAGCTCGGACACCTCAGCTTTCCTTTGGGTCTTCGTAGAACTAATCTGATCCTTGGAATGAGACTTTCGGCCCGGTAGCCACAATATGCGCATTCCAGAGGATTTGCTTTTCTTCGTCGTGTTGGAAGCCATCTGAAAATGATTGACTTGTGTAGAATTTCACATTAAAATGGCACAAAATATACGTTCAGGGAATGTGTGTGACAGCAGTGGACTTGGTGGCTAATATTTATAATTGTAATAATGCAATCTGAGAAATTTAAGCTCGGGATAGTGCTGCCAAATAACAAATTGGGCTTTCCCCTAAAAAATCATGATAAGAGGAGATTTATCCTAAATAATCCAAGTGCCCCTGAATTCAAAAAATTAATTTATTTAAAACATAAAAAAGATGTAATATATCTTCGAGATCAAGAAAAATAGAGGGAGAAAACGTTTAGGTTTATCTGGCCCCTAAACTTTAACCTAGGACGTTAAAAAACACCTTAATCTAGGGAAAGCCCCTGGGAACACTGGCTGATGTGCCTCCAGTGTGACCGTTTTTAAAGCTAGTAAAAACATTTTTGGTATTTTTGGAAGGCTAAAATGCGGTAATTCTTTGTTGACATCTATTTAAAACACAAGAAACAATGTCTTTGTTTAAAAACAGTAAACGTTAGGTAATTAATAATTGTCGGAAGTGCTGATAGAGGGCTCCAGGATGTTTCTGGTGAGACAGTGTACCATCTAAACAAGAAATCCCATACTAATTGCTACTCTGAACCCCTCCAGTTCATTAGCCGACCCACTCGTACTCTGGGCTACCGGATGCGGGAGGTACGCGAGCGTCTGGGAGAGGATTTCACAGCAAAACTAGATGAACTGCACAGAAATAGCCTGCGCACCGGTCTAGTGTCCAAGCAGGAGCTGGAGGAAGCGTTCCGCAAGACGCGCGACATCGACCACAATCCGAATCGATTGAATCTAATCTGGCTGGTGGGCATCATCTTCTTCATTTTGGTGGCCACGCCGGTCTTTTACGAGACCATCTCGTTCTTGCTGGGAGTGCGCTGCTTCCTGCCCAACAACTATCTGGTGTGGGAGGCCACGCGACCGATCAGTGACTGTGAGTTTTGCAAGGGCGTGCGTGCGCCTCTGATCTTGGCCAATCTCACCCGGGAGGAGTTTGCCCCGCACGCCTACTCCTCGCTGCCGATCATCGTAAAGAAAGCGGTGGCCCATTGGCCGGCACAGAAGGATCTCAACTATGCCTACATCCGGGATCTGTACCAGAGTGTGCCGGGCGCCATTGAAGCGGACTGTCAATTCCAGCACTTCAATTCCGACCTCAAGTCGCTGCGGGATGTGTTTGCATTGTCCCCGGAAAGGTCGAATCTAAGCCAAGGAGCTCCCTGGTTTGTGGGCTGGAGTGTCTGCCAGCCGGCGGTGCTGGCTGAGCTCAGAAAGCTATATCCACGTCCCCACTTCTTGCCTGTAGATGCCGAAATGCCGCACACGGACTTCATATTGATGGGCTACGAACAGGGAGCTGTGATGCACGTAAGCTGAGGTAACAAATCGGTTCGGCTTGGACCTAATCTCTGGGTTTTCTCGCACCAGCTGGACTACATACCGCGACTGATGTGGCAGGCGCAGCTGAAGGGCAACAAGAGCTGGTTCCTGGCACCGGCCCCCGAGTGCGATCATCAGTGCCAGCCCTTCTCCTTCTACGTGGAGCCGGGCGATGCTGTCCTTGTGGACACACGCCTCTGGTATCATGCCAATACAATTCCAAAGGGTCAGTTCTCGCTGACCGTTCAGTCTGAGTACGGATGAATGCTGTTGTTTAATTTAAATGGTTAAGATAAACATAAAATAAATTAAACTCCCAGATGGCAATTTAAAATTTATATATTTTATATTATATTAATAAAATATTAAATTTTATAAAATAATTATTTTAAATACCGGATCGATAAATATACCAAAATATATAAAAATAATGCACAATTATTTAAATACTAGATCGATAAATATACCAAAACAAATAAAAAGTGTTGGAAATTGGCTCTTTCCAACACTGTCTGGCGCTTTTCGCATTCAAACAAAAACACAAAAAGGCAGCAAAAAGTAGTGCAAAATGGAAACTGAAGTGGATTTCGGCACCATAGCTTCAAAGTTATACCGAAACTACGGGCAGCATTTAAAGAATCTCAAGGATTGTTGCGTGTCCAAGACGGTGATGAAGCCACCGGCTTACTTCGGGAATCTGCAGCTGATGTTGGACGAGGAAACGGCTGCCATGTCGCCGCCCAACGACCTTGGGTCGGTGGCGGAGTACGCTGAGCTCTTCAAGACCCTGGAGGAGTATCCGGCCAATCTCCAGAAGATGCCCAAGAAGCGAGGCGAGTTGCAGCGGGTCAACTCCACGCTCCTGCGCGGTGCAGAAGTTTCGACTGCGGCTCTGGCGGATCAGTCGACGGCCATCAACACTTCCAACATCTCGCTGAGCATGACGCGGCTGGAGGAGCTGCCCAGTGCCGTGGAGGTGTACAAGGAATTCAGGGTCTTCCAGCGCAAGCTGGAGAAGATCTACGAGGAGATCGCCGCTCTGGACACCACGGAATCCATTTACAAACAAAAGCTGGTGCAGCTGCATGGCTTTGCCCAGCAGCTGGAGAAGCTTATGCCCACGGGAGGTGATGCTCCACCGGACGCCTTCTCAGCTGAACAGCAGGAGAAGCTGCTGGCTCTGGCGGCCAATATGGAGCAGCTAAACTATCTACGCTCTAATAGCCTGCCGCTGCCAAGTCCCAGCGAGCTAATGGCCAACGGGAGCGTGGCTGCGCGCCTCGAAATGTTCGTGGAGGTGCTTAGCTATGCCCTTATGCAAATCAGCAGCTACAACATGGTTTTGATTTGATTTAATTATTAATATATTATCGTTAGAATACAGAAATTTGGGAACAAAACGAACAATAATATGTGTATTTCCCCTTTTAAGCGTTGCAAACATTAAATTCTAAATAAAATAATATAAGATTGGTAATCTATAAATCCCGTGAGAATGCATCATCATGGCGATGCCTCGCCAGCTTCCTGCGCCTCCTGCTCCGCCTGGAAACTTCTCATCTGGCTGACTGTGTCGCAGAGGGCAACCAGCTTGCGCACCGAACTGCCCAGGTGTTCCACGCGGTGTCTGTAGGCCAGGCAGCCGTCCAAGGCGCTGCCCGTGTCCTCCCGCTGATCGCTGCTCTGCATCAGCTGACGAAAGTTCTGCAGGATACGGACCACAGCCAATTCGCACTCTGGCTTGAGATTGTACACCTTTTGAGAGTCTTGCGGCGAAGCGTTCAGTGCCAAGGCCTTGTTATTGGACTCGATGTGGAGTAGGGTGTTGTTGGAGCGCTCCATTATCTCGTCTATCTTGCTGATCTGCTTGCCCAAGGACCGTCGATGGGCGGCTGTAGTGGGGTTCAGGTGAATTAGATGAAGGAACTTGGCTTGGCTAATTGTATTTACCTAATCGCGCCAACATTTCGTCGGCAGCGTCGGGCATTTCGAAATCTTTATTTATATGAGAAACAATGTGACCGTGGTGTTGAAAGCTAATATATTCCAAAAAATGTTGAAAATACTAGTTTCATCGAAATTCGAACTCAACAAGTTCGAATGATCGGTTAGAGTTTGAAATTTTTTAATTTTGAAATATTATTAAAGAATATAAGAAATTAGAGACTACACTTTTACTCTTTTCTACTCGAAACCCTTCTTAAGTTCCCCTCCGTTTTCCCTTAACGAACAAATCATATCTAACGTTTTTTGGTTTATTATTGTTGTTCAAATTGTATTTGTTTTCTATTTAAGTTTAAGTGTAATCCGTTTCATGGTGTTTGCATTACAGTTACAATTTACTCATAAACATCCTCCTTGTCGGCGACGTACTTAATAATGTCGGCAGGTTTCAGCAGCTTCTCGGCATCGGAGTCAGGGATCTCGAATCCAAACTCATCCTCCATGGCCATGATGACCTCCACGTGATCCAACGAGTCCAGTCCCAAGTCGTTAATGAAGTGCGACTCAACGTTGAGCTGTAAATGGATACGTTATTAGCATGGATTGCTATATATGTGGGCAAAGGATAGGCTTTGTTCAGTTCTTTTGTGGCGGTAACCATTGCACTGGCAAAGGCAATCAATGTGATTTGTTTTTTTACCTTGCAGGGATCGATCTTGTCGTACAGCTTGAGGACAAGCAAGACCCGCTCGTTGATAAGCTTCAGCGAGAGCGGCGGTTTCGCCGAGTACCTGCGCACCGATTGCGTTTGCCAGCGATTGCGTCTGCACTCCTGGTTGGTTTTGGTTTTGGCCAAAAGAAAAGAACGAAACACAAACCAAAGAGTTAGTGGGGCCTTGAAGTGGATAGTTTTACCTTGTCGGCGGTGACTTTGTCGTAGGCGGAGACAACCTTCAGCACACGGAACTTGATGTCCTCGATGGTGCTTTTGGCCGAGTAGCTTCGCACTCCGAATTTCTGTGAATTATATGAGTTAGTTTACGGATGAAGTGTCTTTAAAGAGCCAAGATAGCTGGGAATTCTTGTTTTAGATTTTTAAAGTTTTCTAATTGAATTTATTTGAGTTTGTTAGAATTTTATCAGATAGTTTATGTCAATCTAAGAATTTGATAAACTTGGAATATCTTATACAACTTTAATAAATTATTGAAAACATCGATTGATAGCAATAAATTACTCTTTTGTTGATATAGTTTTGCCTTGTGAATATAACAAAATAAGAAATAAACATGAATTATTTAATAATTAATTAATTCAATGACAAATAGAAAAAAATATAAAAGATTTCCAGAAACTATGAAAATAATAATAGAAAACTGGAAGAAATAGAAGAACTGACTCATAAAATTCAATTTTAAATCTACTACTTGCTAGTTAAAGTCCCTGTAGAGACAAATTGGCTAAATTGTACAAAAAACTGTCTCTTTTATAATTATTTTGGCTCAAGCTTGTTTTAAACTAAACTAACATTTAAACTTTAATTATTGTGAAGTGAAAGTGCCAGTATCAGTGGTAAATATTTTACAATAATAACTAAAAACTTTTGCAAGGCAAGTTCCTCAGTATCACTGATCATAAATGGTTCTTTTAAAGTAAAATCCTTGGCCATGTTATTGGACCTCTCCTCCATCGACATAAGAAGTTTCTGGTTACTTTTAGCCAATTTCCACTGTAGTATTATCAAACACACACACATGCAAGCACCGGCCTTGTTTGTATTAGTGCGTTGACCAGGGGAAACAATCATGTTTTATGCAAAACAATATGATGCAATCACTTTAGGCCCCTAGTTAGCCACATGTCGCTATGCCATTGCAGCCTGGGGTTCTTAAGACCCATCCATAGATCCTTTTTGGAGCTATAAAACTCCCCAGGCTCCGACGTTTGCAATGAGGTTAGGTAGCCAAATCTGGAGAGGTTCCCCACCTACATATATGGGGCCTGGAAAATATGTTACCCCTAGCTAAGCACTCACTTGGCTCCATTGATTGGCCACGGCCGGCACGGCAATCCTGTGCATCATCCTGGCCTGCTGTGACTGGACAAGGGCGGCGCTGGCGATCCTCTTGGGGGCCAAAGTCGCCGCCAGCCGACTGCAGCTGCGGGCGATCTGTGTGAACGACATCTCGGGTCTCCTGCAAGGTAAATACGGGCGAATTAATCACGCGTCTCGCCGGGAAAAGTGCACGCGGGCAGTACACGATATTGAGCAATTTCTTACACAGTTTTCAGATTATGTAAAAGTTCTGGAGCAAAAGAAAGACGGCTAATGTCGGTGTGGCCAGAGGTTGTTTCTAAATAGTTGGGGCTAACGCAAGCCACCAGACCAAAAATTCATAAAGTCTGGTAACATTGGATGCAGCTGATTAATCATGAGTGCTCATCGATAACGATTCTTTGTAATCGAATAGGTGGGATATTTGAAACTCTTCTTCAGAACTCGGCAACGTTTCAGATTCCTCAAAATCCAATTAAACTACCAATTGATTAGATATACAAAAGTCTCATATATTTATAGGTATTTTCTTTTTTATAAACAATATACATTTAGGTCTGAACATTAGTCATATAAAATCCAATTTACACATTTCGGGAGTAACAAAAAATACATACAATAAGTACAGTATAAATACACGAATATAACAAAACAATCGTCCTTTGATTTAAAGCCATTGTTGTAGAAAGTCGTAGTAAATTCGCCTTCTTATTGTCCAGCAATCTAAGCGATAAAAGAAAATATTAAAAAATGAGGTCGCAGCGATAAGAGGGTTTTATTTGCTCGACTGGTGACATCACTTACAACAACAAGGTGGTCCTTATCACGCACCACGCCCGGCTCTGCGCCCGTTCGAATGTCGATGACTCCGCCCTTGCCCTTGACCACGTTGTGCTCCAGCCTGCAAAACGAGATAAACGAGAAAAGTGAAATGGTAGTTTCAGAAAATGTCGTGGGAATTAATTGTGCAATTAATTAAAAGCTTAACATTTTTGTTAAGAAAGTTCTAAGCAATTAATAGGCAGTTCCAAGTTCTAAGTCAATACTTACGAATTTCTGTCCACAATGGAGACGATCTGGGCAGTGCCCACGGTGTCGATGATGTAGGTGCTGAACTCGATGATTCGCGGAATGATCAGGATCAGGTCGCCCTTGTCCTTTTTCAGCTCGAGCGGTATGCGAATGACCATGAGGTCGTCGTTGTGGTTCGTTAGCGTAAAGTCGATCTTTTCCAGCGGCAGGCGGTGCTTCTGCTTGTACGTCTTGCCGTCCAGGACATAGATGGCCTTGTTGCTCAGCAGGATGAAGCGATCGCGAGACTTGTAGCCATGGCGATCGAACTTGGTGCAGAAGGACTGGTACTTCAGTTGCTCGCTGCCAAAGGTGCTGGCCACGAAGTCGTTGACCCGCTGGATGTGCTCCTTGGGTATGCGATCCTCCTGGAACCAGGTTGACACACTCGACGCATAGTTGTTCTTCTTGTTTTTGAACACCTTCTCGGCGAGCACCTTCAGTTCGAATTGGCGCTTCTGCTGCGGCGTCAGTTTCAGGCGGTAGATCCTGGCCAGGTGCAGGCGATGCAGGCGGTGCAGATACTCGGAGGCCTCCTGACAGTGACCGGGTGCATGGGGCCAGCTCTTGTCTAGCACCTTGCTGGGCAGTTCCTTAGCCAGCCGCAGCAGCCACATGCGCTTAGCATTGGCAATGAAGTCCTCGTTGAAACCGTTGGGAGCCTCGTTGCGGGTAATGAAGCCCTTGATAAAGGCCCGGATCTTGTCGGCAGCCTCCCTCTTCCGCTTGGCCGCCTGCTGGGCCAACCTGCGGCGACAGTAGCTCTGCAGGATGATCACCTGGGCGCGGAGCTTAAGGTACTTTCTCCTTTGGATCAGTCCCTTCCAGTGGGCCTGGATTATGGCCGCGATATCGTGCTTCTTGAGCTGGTACGCATCTTCCGTGTCGAACAACGTCCTTGGCCACCGAATGAAGAGCTTTGTCTCGCCCACGCGGTACTTCTCATCATCCCAGCCCAAATCCTTGACCAGCTGCTGGACTCCAGCCTTCGGTCCGCCCGGACCCTTGTAGTTCGGCCAGGTGGACTTGCTTAGTGACTTGTAGCGCTCCAGGAAGAGCTCATAGGTGCGACGGTAGGCGAAGCCGGCCCTCCTCACCCGCAGGTTCTCCATGAGTCCCAAATACTTCACCTGGTGCAGCACCAACTGGTCGTTGAAGACACCTGGCGCCTGGAGATCGTTGGGCTTGATGCAGCGAATGTAGCTCGGCTCCTTGCACATCAGGATGTCCATGAGGTTGTTCAGCGAAGCGCGGAACTGGGTGATGGCCGTGTCGGGGCGCTTAAGACTGCGCAGCTCCTGCTCCGGGAAGCAGCTCCTTACAATTCCGTTGCCCGCCTTGCTGAGCGTCTCCTTCAGATCCCTGAAGAGTAAGTCGTTGTTCTTGTCGAGGAAGCCATGAACGCTGTATGTGACCTCGCCGGCGTAGTGAACCAGCCGGAACTCGTCACGCAGCATGATCTTCTGGATGTGAGTTGGGGCCTTTTCATGGCAAACATAGTGATGATGCTGGGCCAGCTTGTTGGTGAGCTTCTCCAGGAAGGTAATGTCCGTGGGCTCGCCCGGCCGCAAGCATTCCTCATCCAGAATGGAGATGATGCCCTTGTGCTTCTCCTCGATCAAATTGCAGATTACCTTGTTGTCGAAGTACTCCACGGGTATCCATTCGATGCCCTCGCGACGGTACTCGTCCTGCTCGGACTTCAGCGTCAGCTCGATGAACAGCTGTTGGAGCTTCTCGTTGCAGAAGTTGATGCAGAACTGCTCGAAACTATTCTTCTGGAAGATCTCGAAGCCATAGATGTCCAGGATGCCCATCACATTGCTCTTGGCGCTCCGCGTGTCCTTTGCTTGCAGCGAGATATTCAGGCGCTGGACCAGCCACGAGAATAGGCGATCGTAGACGGCCTTGGCCAGGGCATCCCTGGCATAGATGGCCAGCTCTTGGTTCAGCGGTGAGGTCACCACATCACCGCGAGCATC